TGTTCCTAACTGTACTAATTCTTGTTCGTCTATCACAAACTAGATTCATCTGGGAAGAAAGGACCTCAGTTGAAGAATTGCTTCCATCAGACTGGCCTGTGGGCAAGACTTTGGGGACATTTTCTCCATCGAGGATTGTTTTGGAAGGATCTGGCAACTGTGTGGGCAGTGCCATCCTTGGGCAGGTAGCCCTAAGTCTCATAAGAAAGTAAGTTGAGCAAGCCCTGAGAAGCAAGCCACTAAGCAAGCAGCCTTCTTCCTTGGTCTCTGCTTCAGTTCCTGCTTCAGGTTTCTTCCTTGAGTTCCTGTCCTGATGTCATGGGTGGTGAGATGTAAGTGTCAGCCGAATAAACCCTGTCCCGCCCAGGTTGCTGTGGATCATGGCATTTATCACAGTGACAGAAAAACAAGGTGGACCACTCACACAGACGAGCAGAGAAGTTTTCCAAGCCCTGGCTGGAATTAGGGTTCATTTACTAGGTGACTCCACTCCCAGTCCTGACCTTTCTGAAATCCTTGTTTTCCCCATTTTACAAAAGGAACTGACAGGATCTAACACCAGGAGGTTGCCCTGAGGTGAAATCTATGAAATGGAAACTTTCAAACACAAATCAAATGCTGCCCTCGCCTTCCCTCTGACTTTCGGCTCTAAATATAGTATAAATCAACACACACTAAACAGAAAAAAATGTTTGCCACAAATGTTGACCTTTTGGGTTTTTTTTTCCTTTTTCTTTGTTTGTCTATTTGTTTATTCATCTCATTTTTGTAACCCAGGCTGGCCACAAACTCAAGTGGTGGCACGGACCTGAGGTTCCAGTACTCAAAGAGGTAGAGGCAAGAAGATCATAAGTTCAAAGCCAGCCTGGACTTCAAATCAAGATAAGAGAGACAGAAAGAGAGACAGACAGAGTCAGAGGGGGAATTTTAAGATGACAACATCCCTAAAAATTCTAGTTCAGTTCTACAGCTGGATGACATTTCTTTGAATATCTTTCCTGTTGATTTGTACACAGATGCTATACCCCCTTCCCAAGCCTGGTACCAACTGATGGCAGCTGGACTTCCCAAACCCACAGCCTCTAAGTGCTGCCTCAGAGGACCATCTTTACTGGACATGCCAGGTTTTTCTTTGGGGCCACCAACCAGCTCCCAAATCATGACACAGACACTTATTAGTTTTGAATGCTCAGTTTAGTTCTTTTAACTTAAACTATTTATTTACCTTTTGCCTTGGGCTGTTAACTTTTTCTTACTTTCTTGCTGTCTCTGTGGCTGCTTGGTTGAGGTTGCCTGGCTTCTTGCCCCAGGCATGTCCTTCATTTCTTCTCTCTTCTCTCATTCCTCTCCAGCCTATTTCTCCTATTTCTCTCTGCCCACCAGCCCTGCGTATCCTTTCTCTGCCTAGCTATTGGGTGTTCAGCTCTTTATTAGACCTATCAGGTGCCTTAGGCAGGCAAGGTGAAACAAATGCAACACATCATAACATAATTAAACAAATGCAGCAGAAACAAAAGCAACACACCTTTGCCCAGTTAAAATAATATTCCATAACAACCAGGTAAACAAACACATGAATAGCTAAGACACTGTGACGTAAAGTACTGATCAGTTTCCATGGGAGCAATCAGTCTTGCTTGAGGTGTTGGGGACTAGTTCACAGAGGCAGCGACCTTGAGGAGTATCAGTGTCGGAATAGCATGTCACATCTAAAACATCTAAAAACATCAGCGAACCCTCTTTCCTTTGCTTTGGTCCAGATTATTAAAGACAGAACAGCCTCAATTACTGTCAGGGTTACTCCACTAAAGGCATTCCATGATGGTCTTACAAAGCAAATGTGTGGTATTTAACATCCCAAAGCTACCATTTTGTAGCACTTATGATTGAACAACCCAAGTGTCTTCTTTGTGGGTTCATATATAATGAATGAGTGCTATATTAAAGATTATTGAAGAGTGTAAGCCTTTTTTGCATGTATAAGATTTGTAGCTTTTAAAATATTTATTCATCTGTGTGAGTCACTTGAATTTTACAGCGAACTCAGGAAAGAAAATGTCAAAGTTGAGCAAATGTTAAATGAACTCTCTTTAAAAGGAAATGTGTTTTAGGAGATAATACTCAAGATGAACTAATCTACAAATTCATCCTGAGAGGAATGGACCAAAATGACAGGGAAGACTTGAGGAAAAAAACTCCCAAGAGTTAACTCTTTAGTACTTGTTCTGTGTGTGACCCGTTTCCCTATTTTTATGTCCCCACAAATCACTTTCTAAAAACAAGCAGAAATCTGATCACCACACATGGTACCTGCTTGTTCTCTCTTCGTATGTGCCACCTGTCCTTTGTTGTCCACCACGTCAAGCAGACACTAGCATCTCCACAACTGACGCCTTGGAGCCCTGAGAGACCAGGCCTCTCTGTGCTGAGCTGCACAGCTGGGCAGAGAAGACTGTCTTGTTTTCCTTCTTGGCTTACCTCTTCCTAGAGAGAGAGGACAGAGGCAGAGGTCCTTGGGCCCTAAGGATGGACAATGGGGTCAATGTCAATGTAAGTCTCACATGTAGCTCAATGCCTCCACTTCCCATAGAGCTCACACATCAATTCTTGAGCTAGAGAGATCTTTTTCAAAGTGCATTGGTGTGAAGGTATCAGATTCCCTGGAACTAGAGTTACAGATAGTTGTGAGCTGCCATGTGGGTGCTGGGATTTGAACCCAGATCCTCTAGAAGAGAATCCAGTACTTTTAACCACTGAGCCATCTCTCCAGCCCAGAGCTAGAAAGATCTTGAGAGGTATAAGTCTTTCTTATACCAAAGACTTGCTCTTGGGTCCATCTTTCTGCTTCCTTGCTGCCTAACATCTTGGACAAGACCTCATCTAAGAAGCCGTGGGTCCATTACACAGAGGTGGCTCGGCATGCTATCTCTCTAGGTAATGCTACACTAACATAGACTTCAGAAACAAACCTAAGACTGATGATCAGATTCTTCCGTACCACAGTATACATGTAGAGGTCAGAGGGCAGCACACAGGAATTAATTCTCTCCATCTACCACGTGGGTTCTGGGAATGGAACTCAGGTGGTCATTGGCAGTAGGCAACTTTACAAACTGAGCCATTTCACCTGATCCAAATTATAATGTTCTTTATTTCGTTCCTATTTGGTGTGTGTGACAAAAAACAAAAAACTAAAGAGTTCTAATGTACAGTTTTAAAAATTAAAAGTTCTAATAGCCCATCTCAGATGACACAATGCCCAGTCCCATCTTTCTATTTCATGTATTCTCTTTTCCTCTGGATTAGTAATGGCTGATATTGCATCATGTTTTACAAGGCCTTTCTATGTATGTTCCTTCATTTTTTTTCAAACACACTATAAAAAAACTATTATCGTGATATCGATTTTCCAGTAGAGAAAATTAATTCCTCTAACCCACCGTCACCCACGACTTTCACTGCTGAATGTTACTGACTCTTCCAGCTACACTCAGTCCTCATCTGCTTCAGAAAGATTTGATTGGCACCACTGATCTGGACAGGCGGGTTCTATTCTCTCTTCCAACGCAGCCCAGAACATCCGTTCCCCCAGGACGGAGTCTAGTGGGAGCCTGAGTTATTCCATCCATTCTCCTAGACACTGCAGATGAGAAACGTCATTTTCCATGTGTACAAGGATGTGAAAAAGACAAAGAAATGCCACCCTGGAGGAATGGCTAAGCGCATGGCTACCAAGGCCACCGGAAGGGGGATGGCAGAGACAGCAAGTGGCTTCATTTGATCATCACATCAGTAGGCGCAGAGCCATCATCTAAACCAGAGCCCGCACCTGACTCCAATGACACCGCATACCCGAGCCTTTCTCGCGGCCTTTGTGAGAGTTCAACTGGACGTCGTAGATCAAATTGTGTATATTTGCTTTTTTTTAAATCTATTTGAGTATAAGATGCTTTTATCCTCTCAGAATCTCAAAACCACCACCGTGGACCTCTGCAGTGTTTATTCGTGGTACCAGTTTGGGAAACCGGGTTTACGGCTCACTTACTACCCAATTCATAGCCTATAGGGACTCACATGCCTGCCTCTACAGAACCAGAAGCAGGGAAAGAGAGCTGGGGAGCCCTGTGTTGTAATGCTGGGGTAGGGAAATCAGCTGCACAGCTGCCTCTCCTGAATGGTGGATTCTACAACTGGATATTCCAGCGGATTGGTTCACATGGCATGGTGAGCCAAGAGGCATCTGTATCAAGCTATTGCAGCTTGCTCTCAGTGCAGGGACACAAGAGATTAGCTAGAGAAAATAGCTAAATCTTGCAAGGGTCACCAGGGCTTTAAGGAACCTGCACTGGCATGAGTGCCTCACTAAACAGGCATGCTGGGTCCCATTCTTACCTCTGAAATGCTAGGATAAGGATGTTCCAATGGTGCGGTTGTCACGCTTACTAAATGAGATGACCTGCGAAGTGAGTTCACTGCTATGCTGCCTCCCTTGCCGTGCTTGCTCCTCGGTGCTTAAGCCTTGGGTAAACACCTCGTAGGAAGAGAAAGGAAGCATTTCATAATGTCAGACTCAACCTGAAAGGAAAATTCTGTGTTTGCAGAGCTCTATGCCCCCTGGATTACCTAGCAAACCTGAAATTCATTAACCTTTTTAGTCGATTTTTAGTACCAATGTAAGACGACTGTTTTTGCATAATCAAGAAACCTCGACAGCCCAATAAAAGGAGGCCAGGTGTTCAGGATTAAATATGTATTATCCCACCGCTGGCTTTCTGGAGATGGCATCGGGTTATTTGCTCTTTCATAATGCATACCACTTCTAGAAAGGAGAAGGCAGAGGGAGAAATGGGCAGAGAAGATAAAGGAACGTCAGGGAAACAGCGCTACCGGGAGCGAGGAACGGTGAAAGCTGCAGAGGAACGATAAAGGCCGGGTCTATCTGTGGCCAGTTTCTGGGCTTTCTTTTTCCCTTTTCTTAAAAATAGTCCTTCTTCCTGCACACAGGGAATCGAATGGACCGTATCTGAGGCCCCACAGCAACATCCGTGAGTCTATTTGGAGGTACTAACTTCTTCATCTCTGTGGCAAAGCTGGACTGACCCTTAATCACGAGATACACAACCACCAAATTCTCCAGAACCAGCTGAAAAAGAAAAAGAAAGGAAAGAAAGAAAAAAAGAAAGGAAAATATTCCATCCACAATATTAGGGGTTTCTCTTTCTCTCTTTCTTTCTTTCTTTTTCTTTCTTTCTTTCTCTCTCTCTCTCCCTCCCTCCCTCCCTCCCTCCCTCTCTCTCTCTCTCTCTCTCTCTCTCTCTCTCTCTCTCTGTGTGTGTGTGTGTGTGTGTGTGTGTGTGTGTGTGTGTGTGTGTGTTGAGACAGGATTTCTCTACATAGCCTTGGCTGTTCTGGAACTCACTCTTTAGACCAGGCTGGTCTTAAACTCAAAGAGATCGGCCTGCCTCTGCCTCCTGAGTGCTGGGATTTAAGGTGTGTGCCTAGCTAGGGTATTTTTTTAGTTAACATTTTTTACAATGACAAGATGAATAAGTAATTTATTTAAAATGCACATATAACAAATAAAAAAGGTTGTTTCCTTAAAGTAAAACTGAATCATTTCTGTTAACAATACTAACTGGTTATATTTCAATGGGTGCTCTAGGTGCTGGGACCAGGTTAAACTCTTAACCTTCATAGGACCCTTGGTTCAATGAGTTAATGAGGCTTAGAGGATTGAACAAGTGGCCTGGTAGTGACACACCTCATGGTAAAATTAGAAATCCAACAGAAGTCTATCTGCCCTATTGTCTACTGTGAGAACGCTGAGTGGGTGTGGGCGGCTTCACGGGCCAGACTGAGCTCCTACAGTGAGTACAGGAAGAAAAGCAGCCCATGGGAAAGGTGAGGGCCATCACACCAAGTGTTACACAAAGGAGAATCAGGTTGCAAACAAAAGTCTTCAAATTCTGGATACAGCAGTCTGAGGGTGCCCCAGGAAGCCGTTCTCAGACTCGAATATTACTGTGGAGAGCCTGCTGTAATTTCAGAGTTTAATAATATGAAATTGGACCTAGAATCCTGAAACAACCCCATTCCAAAACTACAATAGCCCTGGAAATGAGCACTTCCATTAGAACCAAGACCGTTACATATCCATCTCTACTGGAGGAAAATAGATGCTTTTTTCACCGGGACAAATACAAAAATACCTGTATGTTTTCCTAAATTCCTTTTATCCAATTTCCCAATTTTGTCAGATATCTGAAGCTGAAATAAATAGCCTAGTTTCTCGTTTTCCTTAACTCTGTAGCAAATGATTCTTACCCTTTGTCACCGACCTGCTTCTTAGGCAGGATTTCAACAAGAGGTCAAAAAATACAAGAAATGCTTCAGAAACAAAGGGACTTTTGTCTTTTTCCCCCTCTGCCATTTTTTCACAAAATATATATTATAAGGGAGATAATTTAAAAGTTACAAGTTTACAAAGACGAGCAGCTGATACTCCACAACTATTTCCAACAGCTGAAGACAGCACACAGCAAAAACATCATCTTGTGTCAATAGAGATTGCATATACCACAATTTGGGAAAGTTTCTGGTTTTGGCACAAGAGAATGCTTTCTGTCCTTGGGACAGTATAAACACATTCTCAGTTAAAAAATATTTATTGTGTGTTCATGCATTTTCTGCTTACAGACATTCTCTAAGATGCCATCAGGGTCCTAGAATAAATAAAGAATGCAGAGATCTCTGCCTTCAAGAAATCTTTGGTCTTCTGCCCTGAATGCTGTTCTTGTCTTTCTTTTTGTTTTCTTGTCTTACTGAAAGTAAAAAAGTTGGTTCAAACTGCTCCAGGCCCCCCAGTGATAGTTAACCTTCATTATCAACTTGGCAAGATCTGGGTATGCCTAGACACCTGCAAGGTGGTTCTAGATAGTTCTAAGAATGAGGGAACACTCGCCCCAAATGTGGCAGCACCATCCCATGGGCTGGGATCCCAGACTGAGTTAAAAGGAGAAAGTGGACTGAACCTTGGCATCCACCTTTCTGCCTCCTGACCGAGGGTACAATGAGAGCAACCGCCTAGGTGCCCACCTGCACACCCTCCCTGCCAGGAGGGACTTTTCTTTACTTTCAACCATAAACCCAAACAGTTCTTTCCTTAAACTATTTTGGTCAGGTTTTTATTAGGACAGCAAGAAAAGTAACAAATAAACTCCTTAAATAGCATTGCCACCCCAATTCATGGCTAAATAAAAAAAAAAATGGCTAACTCTTCACTAGCAAAGGAGATGATCTTTGATATTAAAGGAACGACCAAAACCTCTGTACTAGATTCTTAAATTAGCTCTTCCATGCCACCGGTTTCTAGTTTGTGTAAGAGTTCACACGCATGCGTGTATCTGTGTTTGTGTTCACGTGCATGTGAACATGTGGTGTGTGACTACTTTCTATAATTAAATTAAGACACAAATGGCAAAAAAACAACAATATCCCAAAATCTTAGAGCAACTTTCCTTTTTTAAATTCTATTGATTTTTATTGAGCTCTGCAGTTTCCTCTGCTTCCCCCCGCCGCCTCTCCCCTCTCCTTCAACCCTCCCCCAAAATCGCCATGCTCCCAATATACTCAGGAGATCTTGTCGCTTTATACTTCCCATGCAGATTAGATCTATGTAAGTCTCTCTTAGGGTCCTCATTGTTGTCTAAGTTCTCTGGGATTGTAGTTTGTAGGCTGGTTTTCTTTGCTTTATGTTTTAAAACCACTTATAAGTGAATACATGTGATAATTATCTTTCTGCGTCTGGGTTACCTCACTCAAAATAATGTTTTCTAGCTCCATCCATTTGCCTGCAAAATTCAAGATGTTATTTTTTTCTACTGTGTAGTACTCCATTGTGTAAATGTACCACATTTTTTAATTCATTTTTCGGTCAAGGGGCATTTAGGTTGTTTCCAGGTTCTGGATATGACAAACAAAGCTGCTATGAACATAGTTGAGCACAAGACCTTATAGCACGATTGAGCATCCTTTGGATATATACCCAAAAGTGGTATTATGGGGTCTTGAGAAAGGTTGTTTCCTAACTTTCTGAGATATCATCCCACTGACATCCAAAGGGACTGTACCAGCTTGCACTCCCACCAGCAATGCAGAAGTGTTCCCATTACTCTACAACCTCTCCAACATAAGTTGTCATCGGTGTTTTTTATCTTGGCCATTCTTACAGGTGTAAGATGGAATCTCAGAGTTGTTTTGATTTGTATTTCTCTGATGACTAAGGATGTTGAACATTTCCTTAAGTGTCTTTCAGCCATTTTAGATTCCTTTGCTGAGAGTTCTCTGTTTAGGTCTGTACTCCATTTTTCTTATTGGATTATTTGTTCTTTTGATAACAAATTTCTTAAGTTCTTTGTATATTTTAGAGATCAGACCTCTGTCTTATGTGGGGTTGGTGAACATCTTTTCCCATTCTGTAGGCTGTCATTTTGTCATGTTGACTGTGTCCTTTACTTTACAGAAGCTTTTCAGTTTCAGGAGGTCTCATTTATTCATTGTTTCTCTCAGTGTCTGTGCTGCTGGGGTTATATTTAGGAAGTAGTCTCCTGTGCCAATACATTCAGTGTACTTCCCACTTTCTCGTCTATGAGGTTTAGTGTGTCTGGCATTACACCGAGGTCTTTGATCCATTTGGACTTGAGTTTTATGTATGGTGATAGATATGGATCTATTTTCATTCTTCTGTATGTTGATCTCCAGTTGTGCCAACACCATTTGTTAAAATATGCTTTCTTTTTTTCCCATTTCATATTTTTTGTTTCTTTGTCAAAAATCAGGTGTTCAAAGGTGTGTGAATTAATATCGGGGTCTTCAATTTGGTTCCAATGGTCCTCCTGTCTGTTTTTATGCCAATACTAGGCTGTTTCCAATACTGTAGCTCTGTAGTAGAGTTTAAAGTCAGAAATTGTGATGCCTCCAGAAGTTCTTTTGTAAAGAATTGTTTTGGCTATCCTGGATTTTTTGCTTTTGAGGTCTGTGAAGAATTTTGCCAAGCATTGCATTGAATCTGTAGATTGCTTTTAGTAAGATTGCCATTTTTACTATGTTAATTCTACCTACCCAAGAGCATGGGAGATCTTTCTACTTTCTGGTGTCTTCTTCAATTTCTTTCTTCAAAGATTTAAAGTTCTTGTCATACAAGTCTTCCACTTGTTTGATTAGAGTTACTCTGAGATATTTTATGCTATTTGTGGCTATTGTGAAGAGTGATGTTTTTCTGATTTCTTTCTCGGCCCATTTATCATCTCTGTACAGGAGGGACACTGATTTTTTTGAGTTAATCTTGTATCCTGCTACATTACTAACTTGTTTTTTTGGTGTGAGAGAATTGTCTGCATTCTGTCAATCATGTTTTAAATAAAGCACTGATTGGCCAGACAGGAGGTGTAGGCAGAAAAACCAGACAGGAAGTGGAAATGATGCAAGGAGAGCAGGAGAATTCTGGGGAGGAGGAAGTTGATTCCTCCCACTCCTGCCCAGACCACTGAAGCAGCAGGATATGAGCTGCCCCACTGAAAAAGGTACTGAGCCACATGGCTAACATAGATCAGAAAAATGGGTTAATCAAGATGTGAGAGTTAGCCAGTAAGAAGCCTGACCTAACGGGCCAATCAGCATTATAACTTATAGAGATCTCTTGTGTGATTTACTTTGGGACTAAACAGCTGGGGAACAGGGCAGGACAAGAACCCCAACAAGCAGGCCCGGCCTTTTCATATTTGTGGCTATTGTGAAGAGTGATGTTTCTCTGATTTCTTTCTAGGGCCATTTATCCTCTCTGTACAGGAGAGACACTGATTTTTTTTTGAGTTAATCTTGTATCCTGCTACATTACTGACTTGTTTTTTGATCCAGTTTGTTTGGTGTTCTGTAAGCTGCTTGTATCTTCATAGGCATATCTTTCTTTAGGTTGGGAAAGGTTTTTTTTTATTATTATTATTATAATGGAAAAAATCTTTATTTTTTTTATTTTATTTCTTATTTTTTTATTATTAAATTAT